ACAATATCGGGCAAATACCCTTGTTAGGGTTTCTGCCCCGACAACGGAATCCGACCAAATTTGGTAGGGTGCTTCCATAGGGCACAGACAGAGAGCCCACCAAAATAAGATTGATTTTGACCTCGTTTAGGTTAGGAAATGCAAGCCTGTGTTTTTCGGTTCTCCTCCTTTGGCAAAAATGGCAAAAACGGCAAAATTTGCAAAATCTGCAGATCTGCAGATTTGCGAAGACTGCGTTTTCTGAAATTTGTGTTTTCTGCAAGTCTGTACTTTCTGCATATCTGTTGTAGGACTAGTACTGCAAGTCCGAATTTTTTTAAGTCTGGGATAAGGGAAAACTTAGGGAGACAAAGTTGGACGCGTAAAGTAGGACGAAGTATTAGACACCTCACACAATCTTCCTCCTCCATCTCCTTCACCCATCCACCATAGCCAACCACCTCACACCATCTTCCTCCTCCATCCCCTTCACCCATACACCATGGCCAACCACCTCACACTGTCTTCCTCCTCCGTCTCCTTCACCCATCCACCATAGCCAACCACCTCGCACCATCTTCCTCCTCCATCTCCTTCACCCGTCCACCATATCCAATCACCGCACACCATCTTCCTCCTCCATCTTTTTCACCCATCCACCATAGCCAACCACCTCGCACCATCTTCCTCCTCCATCTCCTTCACCCATCTACCATAGCCAACCACCTCACACCATCTCCCTCCTCCATCTTCTTCACCCATCCACTATAGCCAACCACTTCGCACCATCTTCCTCCTTCATCTCCTTCACCCATCCACTATAGCCAATCACCTCACACCATCTTCCTCCATCTTCTTCACCCATGCACCATAGTTAACCACCTCGCACTGTCTTTTTCCTCCATCTCCTTCACCCATCCACCACAGCCAACCACCTCACACCATCTCCCTCCTCCATCTCCTTCGCCCGTCCGCCATAGCCAACCACTTTGCACCATCTTCCTTTTCCATCTTCCTCAACCACCCTCCATATCTGACCGCCTCACTCCCCTTTCCCGCGTCACCTCGTTCACCAACCAAAGGCCATGACCTACGGGGCACAAAGAAGCAAGGTGTAAAAAGAGGACCTTGGGTTGGACGGTAGGACAAGCAGGTGGGAAATTGACTAGGAGTATGAGCTCTCTCTCTCTCTCTCTCTCTCTCTCTCTCTC